ACTCCCCCCACCCACCCCCACTCCACCCACTCCACCCACTCCGACTCCACCCACTCCACCCACTCCACCCACTCCCCCCACCCACCCCCACTCCACCCACTCCACCCACTCCGACTCCACCCACTCCACTCCCCCCACCCACCCCCACTCCACCCACTCCACCCACTCCGACTCCACCCACTCCACCCACTCCACCCACTCCCCCCACCCACCCCCACTCCACCCACTCCACCCACTCCGACTCCACCCACTCCACCCACTCCACTCCCCCCACCCCCACTCCACCCACTCCACCCACTCCGACTCCACCCACTCCACCAACTCCACCCACTCCGACTCCACCCACTCTACCCACTCCGACTCCACCCACTCCACCCACTCCACCCACCCACCCACTCCACCCACTCAACCCACTCCCCCCACTCCCCACACTCCCCCACTCCACCCACTCCCACTCCACCCACTCCACCCACTCCACCCACTCCCTCCTCCCCCACTCCCCCACTCCCCCTCCACCCACTCCCACTCCACCCACTCCCTCCTCCCCCACTCCACCCACTCCCCCCTCTCCCACCCACCAATACTCTCCCCACTCCCCCCACTCCACCCACTCAACCCACTAAACCCACTAAACCCACTCCACCCACTCCCCACTCCCCCCACTCCACCCACTCCACCCACTCCACCCACTCCACCCCCTCCCACTCCACCCACTCCACCCACTCCACTCACTCCCCCCACTCCACCCACTCCACCTACTCCCCCCACTCCACCCACTCCACCCACTCCCCCCACTCCACCCACTCCACCCACCTACCCACTCCACCCACTCCATCCACTCCCCCACTCCACCCACTCCATCCACTCCCCCACTCCACCCACTCCCACTCCACCCACCCACTCCCCCACTCCACCCACTCCCCCCACTCCACCCACTCCACCCACTCCCCCCACTCCACCCACTCCCCCCACTCCACCCACTCCACCCACTCCTCCCACTCCACCCACTCCACCCACTCCACCCACTCCACCCACTCCCCCCACTCCCCCCACTCCACCCACTCCACCCACTCCACCCATCCCACTCCACCCACCCCACTCCACCCACCCCACTCCACCCACTCCACCCACTCCGACTCCACCCACTCCATCCACTCCCCCCACCCACCCCCACTCCACCCACTCCCCCCACTCCACCCACCCCACTCCACCCACCCCACTCCACCCACTCAACCCACTCCCCACTCCCCCCACTCCACCCACTCCACCCACTCCCCCCACTCCAGCCACTCCACCCACCCACCCCCACTCCACCCACTCCACCCACTCCGACTCCACTCCACCCACTCCACCCACTCCACCCACTCCCACTCCACCCACTCCACCCACTCCCTCCTCCCCCACTCCCCCACTCCCCCTCCACCCACTCCCACTCCACCCACTCCCTCCTCCCCCACTCCACCCACTCCCCCCTCTCCCACCCACCAATACTCTCCCCACTCCCCCCACTCCACCCACTCAACCCACTAAACCCACTAAACCCACTCCACCCACTCCCCACTCCCCCCACTCCACCCACTCCACCCACTCCACCCACTCCACCCACTCCCACTCCACCCACTCCACCCACTCCACTCACTCCCCCCACTCTCACCCACTCCACCCACTCCCCCCACTCCACCCACTCCACCCACTCCCCCCACTCCACCCACTCCACCCACCTACCCACTCCACCCACTCCATCCACTCCCCCACTCCACCCACTCCATCCACTCCCCACTCCCCCCACTCCACCCACTCCGACTCCACCCACTCCATCCACTCCCCCCACCCACCCCCACTCCACCCACTCCACCCACTCCACCCACCCCCACTCCACCCACTCCACCCACTCCGACTCCACCCACTCCACCCACTCCCTACTCCACCCACTCCACCCACTCCGACTCCACCCACTCCACCCACTCCACCCACTCCACTCCACCCACTCCACCCACTCCCCACTCCCCCCACTCCACCCACTCCGACTCCACCCACTCCACCCACTCCCCACTCCCCCCACTCCACCCACTCCACCCACTCCACCCACCCCACTCCACCCACTCCCCACTCCCCCCACTCCACCCACTCCGACTCCACCCACTCCACCCACTCCCCCCACTCCAGCCACTCCACCCACTCCACCCACCCCACTCCACCCACTCCCCCCACTCCCCCCACTCCACCCACTCCACCGACTCCACCCACTCCCCCCACTCCAGCCACTCCACCCACCCACCCCCACTCCACCCACTCCACCCACTCCGACTCCACTCCACCCACTCCACCCACTCCGACTCCACCCACTCCATCCACTCCCCCCACCCACCCCCACTCCACCCACTCCACCCACTCCACCCACTCCACCCACTCCGACTCCACCCACTCCACCCACTCCACCCACTCCGACTCCACCCACTCCACCCACTCCGACTCCACCCACTTCACCCACTCCACCCACTCCACCCACCCACTCCACCCACTCAACCCACTCTCCCCACTTCCCCCACTCCGACTCCACCCACTCCACCCACTCCCCCCACTCCCCCTCCACCCACTCCCCCCACTCCCACTCCACCCACCCACTCCCTCCTCCCCCACTCCACCCACTTCCCCCTCCCCCACCCACCACTACTCTCCCCACTCCCCCCACTCCACCCACTCCACCCACTCCACCCACTCCCCACTACTCCCCACTCCCCCCACTCTCCACTCCCCCCACTCCACCCACTCCACCCACTCCCCCCACTCCCACCTCCACCCACCCCCACTCCACCCACTCCCCCGACTCCGACTCCACCCACTCCACCCACTCCCCCCACTCCCCCCACCCCTCCCCCCCACCTCGGGTGTTTTGGGGTTGTGTCCGCCTTGCCCGAGTGATTTTTGTGCTGTTGCGAATGTCCTCGCCTCAATTTGTAAATAAACACAAAGTCTGTGTCTCACCAACCCTCTGTGTGCACTTAGACACCAACAGCAGTGCAGTGCTGAGTCTATGGTGCAGTGTTGAGTCTATGGTGCAGTGCTGAGTCTATGGTGCAGTGTTGAGTCTATGGTGCAGTGTTGAGTCTATGGTGCAGTGTTGAGTCTATGGTGCAGTGTTGAGTCTATGGGGCAGTGTTGAGTCTATGGTGCAGTGTTAAGTCTATGGTGCAGTGCTGAGTCTATGGTGCAGTGTTGAGTCTATGGTGCAGTGTTGAGTCTATAGGCAGTGCTGAGTCTATGGTGCAGTGTTGAGTCTATGGTGCAGTGTTGAGTCTATGGTGCAGTGCTGAGTCTATGGTGCAGTGTTGAGTCTATGGTGCAGTGCTGAGTCTATGGTGCAGTGTTGAGTCTATGCTGCAGTGTTGAGTCTATGGTGCAGTGTTGAGTCTATGCTGCAGTGTTGAGTCTATGGTGCAGTGTTGAGTCTATGGGTAGTGTTGAGTCTATCGTGCAGTGTTGAGACTATGGTGTAGTGTTGAGTCTACCGTGCAGTGTTGAGACTATGGTGCAGTGTTGAGTCTATGATGCAGTGTTGAGTCTATGGTGCAGTGTTGAGTCTATGGTGCAGTGTTGAGTCTATAGGCAGTGTTGAGTCTATGGTGCAGTGTTGAGTCTATGGGCAGTGTTGAGTCTATGGTGCAGTGTTGAGTCTATGGTGCAGTGTTGAGTCTATGGTGCAGTGTTGAGTCTATGGGCAGTGTTGAGTCTATGGTGCAGTGCTGAGTCTATGGTGCAGTGTTGAGTCTATGGTGCAGTGTTGAGTCTATGGTGCAGTGTTGAGTCTATGGTGTAGTGTTGAGTCTATGGTGCAGTGCTGAGTCTATGGTGCAGTGTTGAGTCTATGGTGCAGTGTTGAGTCTATGGTGCAGTGTTGAGTCTATGGTGCAGTGTTGAGTCTATGGTGCAGTGTTGAGTCTATGGTGCAGTGTTGAGTCTATGGGTAGTGTTGAGTCTATGGGCAGTGCTGAGTCTATGGTGTAGTGTTGAGTCTATCGTGCAGTGTTGAGTCTATGGTGCAGTGTTGAGTCTATGGTGCAGTGTTGAGTCTATGGTGCAGTGTTGAGTCTATGGGCAGTGTTGAGTCTATGGGCAGTGTTGAGTCTATGGGCAGTTTTGACGTCACCACACTTCGCGCCCCGCCTTTTAGCTCAAGCGCGATGACATCTTCATAGTCATGTTACATGACATCATCATCGCGTTTGAGTCATGCGACATGACGTCATTGGCCAACAATCGCTCTTTTGTGATGACGTCACTACCAATTTCCCCGCTCCCGCCAAAAAGTTGTGCGTGATGACGGCATAAGCGTGCGCGCCATCCGTGCGTGATGACGTCGCCAAAAGGTCGTGTTGACGTTTTTCTTTCATTTAAAGTGGTACAGCGGATAGGCGGGATTTAAAATAATACAGCGGATGGGCTGGACTTAAAAAGTTGCATCTAATCGGCCGGATTTAAAACAGTACAGTGGATAGGCCGGATTTAAAATGGTGCCGTGGATAGGCTGGATTTAAAACAGTACATCGGATAGGCGAGATTTAAAACGGAACAGCGGATCGGCGGGATGTTAAAATGTTACAGCAGATAGGCCGGATTTAAAACGGTACAGCGGATCGGCGGGATGTTAAAATGTTACATCGGATAGGCGGGATTCAAAACGGTACAGCGGATAGGCGGGACTTAAAAAGTTTGGTCGGAAAGGCGGGAATTGAAAATTATACATCGGATAGGCTTGATTTAAAATGGTGCCGTGGATAGGCGCGAGCGTCTAACAAAGCGTACAGCGGATAGGGGCCCGAGGTGTTCTGGTAAGCGCGCGCGCGCGCGCGTGGTGTGTGGCGCGCGTGGATCGACTCAGCCTTAAATGAGTAGCGGTGGTGTAGTGAACATCGCCATCACTGGGGGAGAGATACAAAGGCGGCCGGGCGTGGGGGTGGTGCTGGTGGTGGTCACCCACCGACTCTGTGTGTGTAGCCACAGAGCCGGTAGCCTCCACTCCACGTGGTAGCCTCAAGGTGCACCTAGCCTGGCACGAGCGTCGTGGTGACGTCACCGCCACTTAGTGGCGAATGACGGTTGTTGTTGTTAGTGGCGGTTGTTGTTGTTGGTGGTGGTTGTTGTTGGTTGTTGTTGGTGGTGGTTGTTGTTTGGTGGTGGTGGTTGTTGTTGGTGATGGTGGTTGTTGGTGGTGGTGGTTGTTGTTGGTGGTGGTGGTTGTTGTTTGGTGGTTGTGGTTGTTGTTGGTGGTGGTTGTTGTTTGGTGGTGGTGGTGGTTGTTGTTGGTTGTTGTTGGTGGTGGTTGTTGTTTGGTGGTGGTGGTTGTGGTTGTTGTTGGTGGTGGTTGTTGTTTGGTGGTGGTGGTGGTTGTTGTTGGTGGTGGTGGTTGGTGATGGTGGTTGTTGTTGGTGATGGTGGTTGTTGTTGGTGGTGGTTGTTGTTGGTGGTTGTTGTTGTTGGTTGTTGTTGTAGCCTCCATATGCGCTGATGTCTAGCCAGAGGCTAGACGGAAGAGATTTGTTTATGAATGAGTTGGTGGGTGGGTGAGTTGGTGGGTGGATGAGTGGGTGGGTGGGTGAGTGGGTGGATGGGTTGGTGGGTGGGTGGGTGGGTTGGTGGGTGGGTGGGTTGGTGGGTGGGTGGTGGGTTGGTGGGTGGGTGGGTGAGTGGATGAGTGAGTGGGTGGGTGAGTTGGTGAGTGGGTGAGTGAGTGGGTGGGTGAGTTGGTGAGTGGGTGGGTGGGTGAGTGAGTGGGTGAGTGAGTGGGTGGGTGGGTGAGTGAGTGGGTGAGTGAGTGAGTGACTGGGTGAGTGAGTGGGTGAGTTAGCGGGTGAGTGAGTGGGTGAGGGGGTGGGGGAGTGGGTGGGTGAGTGGGTGAGTGGGTGGGTGGGTGAGTGGGTGAGTGGGTGAGTGAGTGAGTTGGTGAGTGGGTGGGTGGGTGAGTGAGTGGGTGGGTGAGTGGGTGAGTGGGTGAGTTGGTGAGTGGGTGGGTGAGTGGGTGAGTGGGTGAGTGAGTGAGTGGGTGAGTGGGTGGGTGAGTGGGTGGGTGAGTGGGTGGGTGAGTGGGTGAGTGAGTGAGTGGGTGGGTCGGTGAGTGGGTGAGTGAGTGGGTGAGTGGGTGGGTGGGTGAGTGGGTGAGTGAGTGAGTGGGTGAATGGGTGAGTGAGTGGGTGAATGGGTGGGTGAGTGGGTGGGTGAGTGAGTGTGTGAGTGAGTGGGTGAGTGGGTGGGTGAGTGAGTGAGTGGGTGGTGGGTGAGTGGGTGGGTGAGTGAGTGAGTGGGTGAGTGAGTGGGTGGGTGGGTGAGTGAGTGGGTGGGTGAGTGGGTGAGTTGGTGAGTGAGTGGGTGAGTGAGTGGGTGGTTGGGTGGGTGAGTGAGTGGGTGAGTGAGTGGGTGAGTAGGTGAGTGAGTACGTGAGTGAGTGGGTGGGTGAGTGAGTGGGTGGGTGAGTGGCAGGGTGGGTGAGTGAGTGGGTTAGTTAGTGGGTGAGTGAGTGAGTGGGTGAGTTGGTGGGTGAGTGAGTGGGTGAGTAGGTGGGTGAGTGAGTGGGTGAGTGAGTGAGTGGGTGAGTGGGTGGGTGAGTGAGTGAGTTGGTGAGTGGGTGGGTGGGTGAGTGAGTGGGTGGATGAGTGAGTGAGTGGGTGAGTGAGTGGGTGGGTGAGTGGGTGGGTGGGTGAGTGAGTGAGTTGGTGAGTGGGTGGGTGGGTGAGTGAGTGGGTGGGTGAGTGGGTGAGTGGGTGAGTGGGTGGGTGGGTGAGTGGGTGAGTTGGTGAGTGGGTGGGTGAGTGGGTGAGTGGGTGAGTGAGTGAGTGGGTGAATGGGTGGGTGAGTGGGTGGGTGAGTGGGTGGGTGAGTGGGTGGGTGAGTGAGTGAGTGGGTCGGTGAGTGAGTGAGTGGGTGAATGGGTGGGTGAGTGGGTGAGTGAGTGGGTGAATGGGTGGGTGAGTGGGTGAGTGGGTGGGTGAGTGAGTGGGTGGGTGAGTGAGTGGGTGGGTGAGTGGGTGAGTGAGTGTGTGAGTGAGTGAGTGGGTGAGTGGGTGGGTGGGTGAGTGGGTGAGTGGGTGGTGGGTGAGTGGGTGGGTGAGTGGGTGGGTGGGTGAGTGAGTGGGTGAGTGGGTGGGTGAGTGAGTGCGTGGGTGAGTGAGTGGGTGAGTGGGTGGGTGGGTGAGTGGGTGGGTGGGTGAGTTGGTGAGTGGGTGGGTGAGTGAGTTAGTGGGTGAGTGGGTGGGTGAGTGGGTGAGTTGGTGGGTGGGTGAGTGGGTGGGTAAGTGTGTGAGTGAGTGAGTGGGTGAGTGAGTGGGTGAGTGAGTGGGTGAGAAGGTGAGTGGGTGAGTGGGTGAGTGAGTGGGTGAGTGAGTGGGTGGATGGGTGAGTGGGTGGGTGAGTAAGTGAGTGGGTGAGTGAGTGGGTGAGTGAGTGGGTGAGTGGGTGGGTGAGTGAGTGAGTGGGTGGGTGAGTGGATGGGTGAGTGGGTGAGTGAGTGAGTGGGTGAGTGAGTGAGTGGATGAGTGAGTGGGTGGGTGAGTTGGTGAGTGGGTGAGTGGGTGGGTGGGTGAGTTGGTGAGTGGGTGGGTGGGTGAGTGAGTGGGTGGGTGAGTGGATGGGTGAGTGGGTGAGTGAGTGGGTGGGTGGGTGAGTGAGTGGGTGGGTGGGTGAGTGAGTGGGTGAGTGGGTGAGTGAGTGGGTGGGTGAGTTGGTGAGTGGGTGAGTGAGTGGGTGGGTGAGTTGGTGAGTGGGTGGGTGGGTGAGTGAGTGGGTGAGTGAGTGAGTGAGTGACTGGGTGAGTGAGTGGGTGGGTGGGTGGGTGAGTGGGTGGGTGGGTGAGTGAGTGAGTGGGTGAGTGAGTGAGTGACTGGGTGAGTGAGTGAGTGGGTGAGTTAGCGGGTGAGTGAGTGGGTGAGGGGGTGGGGGAGTGGGTGGGTGAGTGAGTGGGTGGGTGGGTGAGTGGGTGGGTGAGTGAGTGAGTTGGTGAGTGGGTGAGTGGGTGGGTGGGTGAGTGAGTACTTGAGTGGGTGGGTGAGTGGGTGAGTGAGTGAGTGGGTGGGTGGGTGAGTGGGTGGGTGAGTGAGTGAGTTGGTGAGTGGGTGGGTGGGTGAGTGAGTTGGTGAGTGGGTGGGTGGGTGAGTGAGTGGGTGGGTGAGTGGGTGAGTGGGTGAGTGGGTGGGTGGGTGGGTGAGTGGGTGAGTTGGTGAGTGGGTGGGTGAGTGGGTGAGTGGGTGAGTGAGTGAGTGGGTGAATGGGTGGGTGAGTGGGTGGGTGAGTGGGTGGGTGAGTGGGTGAGTGAGTGAGTGGGTGGGTCGGTGAGTGGGTGAATGGGTGGGTGGGTGAATGGGTGGGTGAGTGGCTGAGTGGGTGAGTGAGTGGGTGAATGGGTGGGTGAGTGGGTGAGTGGGTGGGTGAGTGGGTGAGTTGGTGAGTGGGTGGGTGAGTGGGTGAGTGGGTGGGTGGGTGAGTGAGTGGGTGGGTGAGTGGGTGAGTGAGTGTGTGAGTGAGTGAGTGAGTGGGTGGGTGAGTGGGTGGGTGAGTGAGTGAGTGAGTGGGTGGTGGGTGAGTGGGTGAGTGAGTGGGTGGGTGGGTGAGTGAGTGGGTGGGTGCGTGAGTGAGTGGGTGGGTGGGTGAGTGGGTGAGTTGGTGAGTGAGTGGGTGAGTGAGTGGGTGGTTGGGTGGGTGAGTGAGTGAGTGGGTGAGTGAGTGGGTGAGTGAGTGGGTGAGTAGGTGAGTGAGTGGGTGGGTGAGTGAGTGGGTGGGTGAGTGGCAGGGTGGGTGAGTGAGTGGGTTAGTTAGTGGGTGAGTGAGTGAGTGGGTGAGTTGGTGGGTGAGTGAGTGGGTGAGTAGGTGGGTGAGTGAGTGGGTGAGTGAGTGAGTGAGTGGGTGAGTGAGTGGGTGGGTGGGTGAGTGGGTGGGTGGGTGGGTGAGTGAGTGGGTGGGTGAGTGAGTGAGTGGGTGAGTGAGTGGGTGGGTGGGTGAGTGGGTGGGTGGGTGAGTGAGTGAGTTGGTGAGTGGGTGGGTGGGTGAGTGAGTGGGTGGGTGAGTGGGTGAGTGGGTGGGTGGGTGAGTTGGTGAGTGGGTGGGTGGGTGAGTGGGTGAGTGAGTGGGTGAATGGGTGGGTGAGTGGGTGGGTGAGTGGGTGGGTGAGTGGGTGGGTGAGTGGGTGAGTTGGTGAGTGGGTGGGTGGGTGAGTGGGTGAGTGAGTGAGTGGGTGAATGGGTGGGTGAGTGGGTGGGTGAGTGGGTGGGTGAGTGGGTGGGTGAGTGGGTGGGTGAGTGGGTGGGTGGGTGAGTGGGTGAGTGAGTGAGTGGGTGAATGGGTGGGTGAGTGGGTGGGTGAGTGGGTGGGTGAGTGGGTGAGTGGGTGGGTGAGTGAGTGGGTGGGTGGGTGAGTGAGTGGGTGGGTGAGTGGGTGAGTGAGTGTGTGAGTGAGTGAGTGGGTGCTTGGGTGAGTGGGTGAGTGGGTGGGTGGGTGGGTGAGTGAGTGAGTGGGTGGTGGGTGAGTGGGTGGGTGAGTGGGTGGGTGGGTGAGTGAGTGGGTGAGTGGGTGGGTGAGTGAGTGCGTGGGTGAGTGAGTGGGTGAGTGAGTGAGTGGGTGAGTGGGTGGGTGAGTGGGTGGGTGGGTGAGTTGGTGAGTGGGTGGGTGGGTGAGTGAGTGGGTGGGTGAGTGGGTGGGTGAGTGGGTGGGTGGGTGAGTGAGTGAGTTAGCGGGTGAGTGGGTGGGTGAGTGGATGGGTGGGTGAGTGAGTGGGTGGGTGAGTGGGTGAGTTGGTGAGTGAGTGAGTGGGTGAGTGAGTGGGTGGTTGGGTGGGTGAGTGAGTGAGTGGGTGAGTGAGTGGGTGAGTAGGTGAGTGAGTGAGTGGGTGGGTGAGTGAGTGAGTGGGTGGGTGGGTGAGTGGCAGGGTGGGTGAGTGAGTGGGTTAGTTAGTGGGTGAGTGAGTAAGTGGGTGAGTTGGTGGGTGAGTGAGTGGGTGAGTGAGTGAGTGGGTGGGTGAGTGGGTGGGTGGGTGAGTGGGTGAGTGAGTGAGTGAGTAGGTGAGTAGGTGGGTGAGTGGGTCAGTTGGTGAGTGGGTGATTGACTGGGTGAGTGAGTAGGTGAGTGGGTGGGTGAGTGGGTGAGTAGCTGACTTAGTGGTTGAGTGACTGAGTGAGTGGGTGGGTGAGTAAGTGAGTGGGTGAGTGAGTGGGTCACTGAGTGAGTGGGTGACTGAGTGAGTGAGTGAGTGACTGACTGAGTGAGTAGGTGAGTGAGTGAGTGGGTAAATGGGTGAGTGGGTGATTAGGTGAGTGAGTGGGTGGGTGAGTCAGTGGGTGACTGAGTGACTGAGTGACTGACTGAGTGATTGACTGATTGACTGACTGAGTAACTGACTGATTGACTGAGTGACTGACTGAGTGATTGGGTGAGTGACTGACTTAGTGACTGACTGACTTGAGTGAGTGAGTGACTGGCTGACTGAGTGACTGACTGAGTGACTGACTGACTGAGTGACTGACTTGAGTGACTGACTGTCTGAGTGACTGACTGACTGAGTGACTGACTGACTGAGTGACTGACTAAGTGACTGACTGATTGACTAAGTGACTGACTGAGTGACTGACTGAGCGAATGAGTGACTGAGTGAGTGACAGCGAGTGAGTGATTGACTGACTGAGCAAGTGCGTGAGTGACTGAGTGAGTGACTGACTGAGTGACTGAGTGACTGACTGACTGAGTGACTGAGTGAGTGAGTGAGTGACTGAGTGAGTGAGTGAGTGATTGACTGAGTGATTAGGTGAGTGGGTGAGTGAGTGAGTGTCTGAGTGAGTGTCTGAGTGAGTGTCTGAGTGAGTGACTGAGTGAGTGGCTGAGTGAGTGAGTGACTGAGTGTATGACTGAGTGACTGAGTGAGTGACTGAGCGAGTGAGTGAGTGACTGAGTGAGTGACTGAGTGAGTGAGTGACTGACTGAGTGACTGACGGATTGACTAAGTTACTGACTGAGTGACTGACTGAGTGACTGAGTGACTGACTGAGTGATTGACTGAGTGACTGACTGAGCGAGTGAGTGACTGATTGAGTGACTGACTGAGTGACTGACTGAGTGACTGACTGAGTGACTGAGTGACTGACTGACTGAGTGAGTGACTGACTGTGTGACTGACTGAGTGATTGACTGACTGACTAAGTGAGTGACTGACTGACTGAGTGACTGACTGAGTGACTGAGCAAGTGAGTGACCGAGTGACTGACTAAGTTACTGACTGAGTGACTGACTGACTGAGTAACTGACTGACTGAGTGACTGACTGAGTGACTGACTGACGAAGTGACTGAGTGACTGACTGAGTGACTGACTGAGTGACTGACTGAGTGACTGACTGACTAACTGACTGACTGAGTGACTGACTGAGTGACTGACTGAGTGACAGACTGATTGACTGATTGACTGAGTGACTGACTGATTGACTCACTGACTGACTGACTGAGTGACTGACTGAGTGACTGAGTGACTGACTGAGTGACTGACTGACTGACTAACTGAGTGACTGACTGACTGACTGAGTGACTGACTGACTAACTGAGTGACTGACTGACTAACTGAGTGACTGACTGGCTGACTGAGTGACTTCTGCTTGTGGTCACCAGTGGGTCAGCCGTGCGAGACGCTGGCTCGGAGAGACTCCCAACGGCAAGATGGCAGACATGGGGGAGACACGGGGAGACACGGGGGAGACACGGTGAGACACGGGGGAGACACGGGGGAGACACGGGGGAGACACGGTGAGACACGGGGGAGACACGGTGAGACACGGGGAGACACGGGGAGACACGGGGGAGACACGGTGAGACACGGGGGAGACACGGGGGAGACACGGGGGAGACACGGTTAGACACGGGGGAGACACGGTGAGACACGGGGAGACACGGGGAGACACGGGGGAGACACGGTGAGACACGGGGGAGACACGGGGGAGACACGGTTAGACACGGGGGAGACACGGGGGAGACACGGGGGAGACACGGGGAGACACGGGGGAGACACGGGGGAGACACGGGGGAGACACGGGGGAGACACGGGGGAGACACGGTTAGACACGGTGAGACACGGTGAGACACGGTTAGACACGGGGGAGACACGGGGGAGACACGGTGAGACACGGGGGAGACACGGGGGAGACACGGTGAGACACGGGAGAGACACGGGGAGACACGGGGGAGACACGGGGAGACACGGGGGAGACATGGGGGAGACACTGGGAGAGAGACACGGGGAGAGAGACACGGGGGGAGAGACACGGGGGGAGAGACACGGGGGGTGAGACACGGGGGGAGAGACACGGGGGGTGAGACACGGGGGGAGAGACACGGGTGGAGAGACACGGGGGGAGAGACACGGGGGGAGAGACACGGGGGGAGAGACACGGGGGGAGAGACACGGGGGGAGAGACACGGGAGAGAGACACGGGTGGAGAGACACGGGGGGAGAGACATGGGGAGAGAGACACGGGGAGAGAGACACGGGTGGAGAGACACGGGGGGAGAGACACCATAGAGGCTAAACAGGGGACCTTCATCTGTGTGTCTGTGTGTCTGTGTGTGTCTGTGTCATGGCATATGTGTCCACCACAGGGGCTAAACGGGGGCTCTGGACGGGTGCGAGGGGCTTATACCCCCTCCACCTTCAATTAATTACCACTAAACCACGAATTAAACTGAAATATGTAACAACTAAGCTTGTGCCGGAGGCCCCGGGGGGCCAGGCGTCTATGACGTCTCCTGGCCAAACCCCAATTGGCGGAGCCCGGAGATTGAACATCTACCCTCGGGGCTCCTCCAGAAACAACGAAAAGCCACTACGGGTGGCCACGTGGAATGTTCGAACGCTCACTGCGGAGGAGAGGCTGCCACTCCTCTGTCGGGAGCTGGACCGGTACCGCCTGGATCTCTGTGGCATTCAGGAGGTCCGGTGGACCGGTTCTGGCTCCTGCCACCATGAGGGGTGGACAGTCCTCTACTCGGGGCAGCAGACTGCCAAACAACAGGGAGTGGCTCTTCTTCTGAACAAAAGAATGAAGGGGGCGTGAGAGCGTGGCGGTGAGGTGTGGGAAGCTGTAAGCCCCAGGCTACTTTGGGCTGGCCTTCCCATCAACCGGAGGCAAGGAATGGTGGTCGTGGTTACTTATGCCCCCACCGAAGATGAACATCCGTAGAGGGATGCAGGCAAAGCCGATGAGTCAGATGCCTTCTATGACCTCCTGTCACAGGTGCTGGCTAAAGTGGCCCCTCGGGATAGAGTCATCATGTTGGGTGACTTCAATGCCCGAGTTGGTCATGATACTGGTACCTGGTCTGGAGTGATTGGAGGGCATGGGCCAGATCAGCTCAATAACAACGGTAGGAGGCTGCTAGATTTTTGTGCAGCCCATTGGCTTGTAATTACCAACACGCTGTTCCGGCATCGGCGCATCCACACAACATCATGGATGCATGCCGGGTCCAAGCAAGAACATCTGCTGGACTACATAGTGACGGACCAGCGGATGCGAGCCCATGTCCTTGACACCAGGACCTACCGTGGAGCTGATCTACCCTCTGACCATCGACTAGTCATCTGTAAGATGCGCCTACCATTCTTCCACTCCGGTGGTGGGTGTACACCCAGGACCCCATTCCAACCTAAAGTGGCCTGGTCTCAGTTATCTGATGAAAGTTGCAAGCGAGAATTTCATCATCGCTTGCGGCTGGGATTGGCATCGTCCCCGACTCCTCCTGATGTCGAGGGTAAATGGGCGAGGTTTAGGACTGTGACTCATGCAGCTGCAATGGCTGCTTTGGGTACACGGTCCAGACCTCCCCAGAGACCCTGGCTGACAGAGGAGGTGTTCAGGATGGTTGAGAAAAAGCGACAGGCCCACTGTCATCGGCTACAGAATCCCACGTCAGAGAATGAGGAGGCTTACCGCAGCCTTCGCTCGGAGGTTCGGAGAGCCGTGAGGCGCTGCAAGGATGGGTGGTGGTCGCGGGTTGCTGAGGAGATGGAGTCTGCCTCAGTGGCCCGTGATCACAAATCTCTATTTAACTCCATCAAAAAAGTAACCTGCAGCGCCACACCTATTACCATCATTAGGGGAAAAAACGGTGATCCAATCTCCGACCCCCAGCAACAGGTTTGCAGATTTGCTGAGCATTTCTGTGAGGTCATGGGGGAGGGAAAATCCCTCAGCCAGGAAAACATCGTGGCACAAAGTGAGGATGACTCTGCTGAGGCTGCGGTGCCTCAAATATTGGAAGAAGTCACCCCCTGTGAGTGGCTGGCTGAGGTGCCATCTGTTGAGGAAGTACTGAAGGTGATCCGGAGTCTGAGACCAGGAAAGGCAGCGGGTAGAGATGATCTCCCAAGCGAAATGCTGAGGGAGGGTGGCGTTTGTGCACAGACTGCCCTATATGACATCATAACAACAGTCTGGACCACTGGACGGGTTCCGCAGGATTGGAAGGATGCCCTGGTGGTCCCCCTTTTAAAGAAGGGGGACTGCACAGACTGTAACAACTACAGGGGCATCTCACTTCTCAGTGTGCCGGGAAAGGTCCTGGCAAGGATTATTCAGCATCGCCTTGCCAGGCACGCTGAGGAGAGGCTTGCGGAGCCCCAATGCGGTTTCAGGAAAGGGCGGTCCTGCACAGATGCCATATTTTCTGTTCGTCTGCTACAGCAGAGGTGTAGGGAATTCCAACAAGACCTACATCTCTGCTTTATTGACCTGGTCAAGGCCTATGATACCATCAGTAGGCCTGGGCTCTGGGTTGTTCTTCGTGCTTTTGGAGTAACTGACCCTCTGCTCACGATCATTAAGGACCTTCATGATGGTGAGCGGGCCCGGGTAAAACTACGTGGCCGGGAGTCAGAGCCATTCCCTGTACACCTTGGGGTGTGACAGGGATGTCCTCTGGCTCCCACATTATATAACATCTATTTTGACCACGTAGTTCGTGAAGCCTTCAATAGCTGTACCGGGGGAATCTCCATATGGTACAGATATAATGAGAGGCTAATCGATGCCCGGGTGCGGTCAAGGGATGGCTCCCTATTGCTCAACCACGTTATGTATGCTGATGATTTGGTAATAGCTGCTCAGTCAGAGGAGGAGTTGGAGACGCTGCTGCTGAGACTGGAGCGTGCCACTAAGAGGTGGGGCCTTACCATCAGCCCCACCAAAACTAAGCACCTGCCTGGGTATTTTGTACCATCGGACACTCCACCCCCACAACTCCCAATCGGTGATGGGGCAGTTGTGGAGAGAGTGGAGAGTTTCCCATACCTGGGCAGTGTGCTTATGACTGGCTCCAGTTTAACAGCAGAGGTCTCACTCCGAATCAGTCGACCGGCAATATCTTTTCATCGGTTGCGTAACGCTGTGTGGAAGCTACCTGGTCTGTCGCTCCGCGCTAAGCTTCAGGTCTTCTCGGCCACGGTCATTCCCTCCCTTCTCTACGCTTGCGAAACGTGGACCCCTCTAATGGAACATCTTTGCCGGTTGGAAACATTTAGGCTGGCCTGCCTACGATCCATCCTGGGTTTAACCAGACTGGATTGTGTGAGGAGCTCACAAATCCTTGAAAGATCTGGGCAAGGTCCCATCGGTGAGCTCCTCCGGCGGGCAAGGCTGCGATAGCTGGATCATGTAGCCCGCATGCCCAGCCACCGCATGCCGAAACAGCTTTTGTTTGGCCGGATTGAGGGGGCTAAGCGGGCGCGGCACGGGCTAGAGAAGAGATGGAGTGATGTGGTACAGGAGGACGTGGAGCTGAGTGGACTTGCCGATGACTGGTACCAGCGGTGTCAGGATCGGCCTCTGTGGAGGAGGCTCGTGAAGGACGCTACTGGGCAGTTGGAGGCAGTCGCCCTCCAACAACAACGGAGGACGGAGTAGCGACGCTCACAACAACGAGCGGAGCGCCGGGTGGCTAAAGCACAGCAGGTTGGCACAGTAGGGGGCACAGGTGGTGCATCAGCCAGTCATCTCAGTCAGTCGACCCGTGGCACCTGGGTCTGCCCCGTGACCTCCTGCCAGCGGGCGTTCGACACTTCACGTGGCCTCAGGGTGCACATAGCCTGGCACAAGCGTCGTGGTGACGTCACCGCCACTTAGTGGCGAATGGCGGTTGTTGTTGTTGTGTGTATGTGAATGTATGTATGTTAGTGTGTGTGTCTGTGTGTATGTGTGTCTGTGTGTGTATGTGAATGTATGTATGTTAGTGTGTGTGTCTGTGTGTGTGTATGTGTGTGTGTGTATGTGAATGTATGTATGTTAGTGTGTGTGTCTGTGTGTGTATGTGTGTGTGTATGTGAATGTATATATGTTAGTGTGTGTGTCTGTGTGTGTGTATGTGAATGTATGTATGTTAGTGTGTGTCTGTGTGTGTGTGTGTATGTTAGTGTGTGTATGTGAATGTATGTATGTTAGTGTGTGTGTCTGTGTGTGTGTATGTGTGTGTGTGTATGTGAATGTATGTATGTTAGTGTGTGTGTGTGTGTATGTGAATGTATGTATGTTAGTGTGTGTGTCTGTGTGTATGTATGTATGTATGTTAGTGTATGTGAATGTATGTATGTTAGTGTGTGTGTCTGTGTGTGTATGTGTGTGTGTATGTGAATGTATATATGTTAGTGTGTGTGTCTGTGTGTGTGTATGTGAATGTATGTATGTTAGTGTGTGTCTGTGTGTGTGTGTGTGTATGTTAGTGTGTGTATGTGAATGTATGTATGTTAGTGTGTGTGTCTGTGTGTGTGTATGTGTGTGTGTGTATGTGAATGTATGTATGTTAGTGTGTGTGTGTGTGTATGTGAATGTATGTATGTTAGTGTGTGTGTCTGTGTGTATGTATGTATGTTAGTGTATGTGAATGTATGTATGTTAGTGTGTGTGTCTGTGTGTATGTGTCTGTGTGTATGTATGTGTGTGTGTGTATGTGAATGTATGTATGTTAGTGTGTGTGTCTGTGTATGTGTGTATGTATGAGTGTATGTGTGTGTGTGTATGTGAATGTATGTATGTTAGTGTGTGTATGTGTGTATGTTAGTGTGTGTATGTGAATGTATGTATGTTAGTGTGTGTGTCTGTGTGTATGTGTGTGTGTGTATGTGAATGTATGTATGTTAGTGTGTGTGTCTGTGTGTGTGTGTCTGTATGTGTGTATGTGAATGTATGTATGTTAGTGTGTGTGTCTGTGTGTGTGTATGTATGTTAGTGTGTGTATGTGAATGTATGTATGTTAGTGTGTGTGTCTGTGTGTGTGTATGTATGTGTGTGTGTATGTGAATGTATGTATGTCAGTGTGTGTGTCTGTGTGTATGTGTGTATGTGTGTGTGTGTGTATGTGAATGTATGTATGTTAGTGTGTGTGTCTGTGTGTATGTGTGTCTGTGTGTGTATGTGAATGTATGTATGTTAGTGTGTGTGTCTGTGTGTATGTATGTGTGTGTGTGTATGTGAATGTATGTATGTTAGTGTGTGTGTCTGTGTGTATGTATGTATGTTAGTGTGTGTATGTTAGTGTGTGTATGTGAATGTATGTATGTTAGTGTGTGTGTCTGTGTGTCTGTGTGTGTGTGTATGTGAATGTATGTATGTTAGTGTGTGTGTCTGTGTGTATGTATGTGTGTTAGTGTGTGTGTCTGTGTGTATGTATGTATGTGTGTATGTGAATGTATGTATGTTAGTGTGTGTGTCTGTGTGTATGTATGTATGTGTGTATGTGAATGTATGTATGTTAGTGTATGTGTCTGTGTGTATGTATGTTAGTGTGTGTATGTGAATGTATGTATGTTAGTGTGTGTGTCTGTGTGTATGTTAGTGTGTGTATGTGAATGTATGTATGTTAGTGTGTGTGTATGTGAATGTATGTATGTTAGTGTGTGTATGTGTGTATCTGTGTATGTATGTGTGTGTGTGTATGTGAATGTATGTATGTTAGTGTGTGTATGTGTGTATGTGTGTGTGTGTATGTGAATGTATGTATGTTAGTGTGTGTGTCTGTGTGTATGTATGTGTGTGTGTGTATGTGAATGTATGTGAATGTATGTATGTTAGTGTGTGTGTGTCTGTGTGTGTATGTGAATGTATGTATGTGTGTGTGTGTCTGTGTGTATGTGTGTATGTGAATGTGTGTGTCTGTGTGTATGTATGTATGTGTGTGTATGTGAATGTATGTGAATGTATGTATGTTAGTGTGTGTGTGTCTGTGTGTGTATGTGAATGTATGTATGTGTGTGTGTGTATGTGAATGTATGTATGTTAGTGTGTGTATGTGAATGTATGTATGTTAGTGTGTGTATGTTAGTGTGTGTATGTGAATGTATGTATGTTAGTGTGTGTATGTTAGTGTGTGTATGTGAATGTATGTATGTGTGTGTGTGTATCTGTGTGTGTGTATGTGAATGTATGTATGTTAGTGTGTGTGTCTGTGTGTATGTGTGTGTGTGTATGTGAATGTATGTATGTTAGTGTGTGTATGTGAATGTATGTGTGTGTGTGTATCTGTGTGTGTGTATGTGAATGTATGTATGTTAGTGTGTGTATGTGAATGTATGTATGTGTATGTGTGTATCTGTGTGTGTGTATGTGAATGTATGTATGTGTGTGTGTGTCTGTGTGTGTGTATGTATGTATGTGTGTGTGTGAATGTATGTATGTTAGTGTGTGTGTGTCTGTGTGTATGTACAGCGCCCTCCCCTGGGCTCCCCGTCGCTCTTCTCGCCTGCGACCTCCGACCCCGCGGTTTGACCAATCGGCAGCCCCCTCCTCCGTTGCCCTGGAGACCGGCGGTCGTCGTCACGGCGACGGCGACGAAGCGCCGGCTCCCCATTGGTCAGAGGGGAGGAAGCGGAGGCCGCGCCCCCACGCCCACAATGCACCGCGGCACCAGCTGACTCCGCCCCCTCCGGTCTCCCACAATGCACCGCAGCACCAGCTGACTCCGCCCCCTCCGGTCTCCCACAATGCACCGCGGCACCAGCTGACTCCGCCACCTCCGGTCTCCCACAATGCACCGCGGCACCAGCTGACTCCGCCCCCGACATCCCAGAATGCATTGGGGTCTCGGGACAGCGGCGAGGCCGCTCGGCCTGCGACTACCCAGGATGCCGTGCGGCACGGACAGGAAGTGCTGTCCCCGCCCAGAGGATTCGGGACGACAGATTCGAACGCCGGTAGGATGGTTACTCAGTCAGTCACTCACTCAGTCAGTCAGTCACTCAGTCAGTCACTCAGTCACTCACTCAGTCACTCAGTCAGTCACTCAGTCAGTCACTCAGTCACTCACTCACTCAGTCACTCAGTCACTCAGTCAGTCACTCACTCAGTCACTCAGTCACTCACTCACTCAGTCACTCGCTCACCCACTCACTCAGTCACTCACTCAGTCACTCACTCAGTCACTCACTCAGTCACTCAGTCACTCAGTCAGTCAGTCACTCAGTCACTCAGTCAGTCACTCACTCAGTCACTCACTCAGTCACACACTCAGTCACTCACTCTCTCAGTCACTCAGTCACTCACTCACTCAGTCAGTCACTCAGTCACTCACTCAGTCACTCACTCAGTCAGTCACTCACTCAGTCAGTCACTCAGTCACTCACTCAGTCACTCACTCAGTCAGTCACTCACTCAGTCACTCAACCACTCAGTCAGTCACTGTCACTCAGTCACTCAGTCAGTCACTCACTCAGTCACTCAGTCAGTCAGTCATTCACTCAGTCACTCACTCAGTCACTCACGCACTCACTCACACACTCACTCACTCACTCATCCACTCACTCACTCACTCAGTCATTCAGTCACTCACTCACCACTCACTCACTCACTCAGTCACTCACTCACTCACTCACCCACTCACTCACCTACTCACTCAGTCACTCACTCACTCAGTCACCACTCACCCACTCATTCACTCACTCACTCAGTCACTCACTCAGTCACTCAGTCAGTCACTCAGTCACTCACTCAGTCAGTCACTCAGTCACTCACTCACTCACTAACTCACTCAGTCACTCACTCACTCACCACTCACCTACTCACTCACTCACCACTCACTCAGTCACTCAATCACCTACTCACTCACTCAGTGAGTCACTCACTCAGTCACTCACTCACTCACACACTCACTCACTCACTCATCCACTCACTCACTCAGTCACTCAGTCAATCACTCAGTCACTCACTCAGTCAGTCAATCAGTCAGTCAATCACTCAGTCACTCACTCAGTCACTCATTCAGTCAGTCAGTCAGTCACTCACTCAGTCACTCAGTCACTAAAGTCACTCAGTCAGTCATCCACTCACTCAGTCACTCACTCAGTCAGTCACTCACTCAGTCACTCAGTCACTCAGTCACCCACTCATTCACCCACTCAATCACTCACTCAGTCACTCAGTCACTCACTCACCCACTTACTCACTCACTCACTCACCCACTCACTCACTCACCCACTCACTCGATTACTCACCAGTCACCACTCACTCAGTCACTCAGTCACTCACCCACTCACTCACTCACACACTCACACACTCACCCACTCACTCACTCACACACTCACTCACTCACTCACACTCACTCACTCACTCACCCACTCACTCACACACTCACTCACTCCCCACTCACTCACTCACTCACCCACTCACTCACTCACCCACTCACCCACCCACTCACTCATTCACACACTCACACACTCACTCACCCACTCACTTACTCACTCACTCACTCACCCACTCACTCACCCACCCACTCACCCACCCACTCATCCACTCACTCACCCACTCACTCACCCACTCACTCGCCCACTCACTCACTCACTCACTTACTCACTCACTCACCCACTCACCCACCCACTCACCCACTCACTCACCCACCCACCCACCCACTCACTCACCCACCCACTCACTCACTCACCCACTCACTCGCCCACTCACTCACTCACTCACCCACTCACTCACCCACTCACCCACTCACTCACCCACCCACTCACTCACTCACCCACTCACCCACTCACCCACCCACTCACTCACCCACTCACCCATCCACCCACTCACGCACTCACTCACTCACCCACCCACTCACTGACCCACCCACCCACTGACCCACCCACCCACTCACTCACCCACCCACTCACTCACTCACCCACTCACTCACCCACTAACTCACCCACTCACCCACTCACTCACTCACCCACCCACCCACCCACTCACTCACTCACTCACCCACCCACTCACCCACTCACTCACTCACCCACCCACCCACCCATTCACTCACCCACTCACCCATCCACTCACTCACTCACCCACCCACCCACCTACTCACTCACTCACTCACCCACTCACTCACCCACTCACCCACTCACTCACCCACCCACTCACTCACCCACCCACTCACTCACCCACTCACCCATCCACCCACTCACGCACTCACTCACTCACCCACTCACTCACTCACTCACCCACTCACTCACCCACCCACCCACCTACCCACCCACCCACTCACTCACCCACCCACTCACTCACTCACTCACCCACTCACTCACCCACTCACTCACCCACTCACCCACTCACTCACTCACCCACCCACCCACCCACTCACTCACTCACCCACCCACCCACTCACCCACCCACTCACCCACTCACTCACTCACTCACCCACCCACTCACCCACTCACTCACTCACCCACCCACCCACCCATTCACTCACCCACTCACCCATCCACTCACTCACTCACTCACCCACCCACCCACCTACCCACTCACTCACCCACTCACTCACTCACTCACCCACTCACTCACTCACTCACCCACTCACTCACCCACCCACCCACTCACTCACCCACCCACTCACTCACCCACCCACCCACTCACCCACTCACCCACCCACCCTCCCACCCTCTCACCCACCCACCCTCCCACCCTCTCACCCACCTACCTACCCACCCACTCACCTACCTACCCACCCACCCACCCACTCACTCACCCACTCACTCACTCACCTACCCACCCACCCACCCACCTACCCACCCACCCACTCACCCACTCACTCACCCACCCACTCACTCACTCACACACCCACTCACCCACTCACCCACCCACCTACCCACACACCCACTCACCCACTCACCCACCCACCTACCCACCCACCTACCTACCCACCCACTCACCCACCTACCCACTCACTCACTCACTCACCCACCCACCCACTCACCCACCCACCTACCCACTCACCCACTCACTCACCCACCCACTCACTCACCCACCCACTCACTCACTCACTCACCCACTCACTCACCCACTCACTCACCCACTCACCCACTCACTCACTCACTCACCCACCCACCCACCCACTCACTCACTCACCCACCCACCCACTCACCCACCCACTCACCCACTCACTCACTCACCCACCCACTCACCCACTCACTCACTCACCCACCCACCCACCCATTCACTCACCCACTCACCCATCCACTCACTCACTCACTCACCCACCCACCCACCTACTCACTCACTCACCCACTCACTCACTCACTCACCCACTCACTCACTCACTCACCCACTCACTCACCCACCCACCCACTCACTCACCCACCCACTCACTCACCCACCCACTCACTCACCCACCCACCCACTCACTCACTCACCCACTCACCCACCCACCCTCCCAACCTCTCACCCACCCACCCTCCCACCCTCTCACCCACCTACCTACCCACCCACTCACCTACCTACCCACCCACCCACCCACTCACTCACCCACTCACTCACTCACCTACCCACCCACCCACCTACCCACCCACCCACTCACCCACTCACTCACCCACCCACTCACTCACTCACACACCCACTCACCCACTCACCCACCCACCTACCCACACACCCACTCACCCACTCACCCACCCACCTACCCACCCACCTACCTACCCACCCACTCACCCACCTACCCACTCACTCACTCACTCACCCACCCACCCACTCACCCACCCACCTACCCACTCACCCACTCACTCACCCACCCACTCACCCACTCACTCACTCACCCACCCACTCACTCACCCACTCACCCACCTACCCACCCACTCACTCACCCACCCACCCACTCACCCACCTACCCACCCACTCACCCTCTCACCCACCCACCCTCTCACCCACCCACCCTCCCACCCACCCACCCACTCACTCACCCACTCACCCACCCACTCACCCACTCACCCACCCACCCACTCACTCACTCACCCACCCACCCACTCACTCACTCACCCACCCACTCACTCACTCACTCACCCACTCACTCACTCACCCACCCACTCACTCACTCACTCACCCACACACCCACCCACCCACTCACTCACTCACCCACCCACTCACCCACTCACCCTCTCACTCACCCACCCACTCACCCACCCACCCACCCTCCCACCCTCTCACCCACCTACCTACCCACCCACTCACCTACCTACCCACCCACCCACCCACTCACTCACCCACTCACCCTCTCACCCACCCACCCTCCCACCCTCTCACTCACCAACCCACCCACCTACCCACTCACTCACCCTCCCACTCACCCACCTACTCACCCACCCACCTACCCACTCACCCACTCACTCACTCACTCACCCACTCACTCACCCACCCACCCACTCACTCACCCACCCACCCACCCACTCACCCACTCACTCACTCACTCACCTACCCACCCACTCACCCACCCACTCACCCACTCACCCACCTACCCACCCACTCACCCACCCACTCACCCACCCACCCACCCTCCCACCCTCTCACCCTCTCACCCACCCACCCTCTCACTCACCCACTCACTCACCCACTCACCCACCTACCCACTCACCCACCCACCCACTCACTCACCCACCCACCCACCTACCCACCCACTCACCCACCTACCCACCCACTCACACACTCACTCACTCATTCACTCACCCACTCACTCACCCACTCACTCACTCACCCACTCACTCACTCACCCACTCACTCACTCACTCACCCACTCACTCACTCACCCACCCACTCACCCACCTACCCACTCACTCACCCTCTCACTCACCCACTCACTCACCCACCCACTCATTCACTCACCCACTCACTCACTCACTCACCCACTCACTCACTCACCCACCCACTCACCCACCTACCCACTCACTCACCCTCTCACTCACCCACTCACTCACCCACCCACTCACCCACTCACCCTCTCACCCACCCACCCACTCACTCACTCACCTACCCACCTACCCACTCACTCACCCACCCACTCACCCACCCACCCACCCACCTACCCCCCCACTCACCCACCCACCTACCTACCTCCCCCACCCCTACTCCTGCTGCTGCTGCCTGGCTGACAGCCACACAGATGGACGTCGTGCTGGACCCGCTGAGCCTGGAGTCTTGGGGCCTCCCAGCGGGAGTGCTGGAGGTTTATGCGGCCCGGCAGGCCAAACGCCTCTATGCCTGGCAGGCCGAGTGCCTGAGTCTTCCTGGGGTTCTGCAGGGTGGGAATCTCGTGTTTACTGGTGGGTGGGAGGGTGGGTGGGTGGGTGGGGGAGTGGGGGGGTGGGTGGGTGGGAGGGTGGGTGGGTGGGTGGGAGGGTGGGTGGGTGAGTGGGTGGGTGGGTGAGTGGGTGGGTGGGTGGGTGAGTGGGTGAGTGGGTGGGTGGGTGGGAGGGTGGGTGGGTGGGTGGGAGGGTGGGTGGGTGAGTGGGTGGGTGGGTGAGTGGGTGGGTGGGTGAGTGAGTGGGTGGGTGGGTGGGTGAGTGAGTGGGTGGGTGGGTGAGTGAGTGGGTGAGAGGGTGGGTGAGTGGGTGGGTGGGTGGGTGAGTGGGTGGGTGGGTGGGAGGGTGAGAGGGTGGGTGAGTGGGTGGGTGGGAGGGTGAGTGGGTGAGTGGGTGGGTGGGTGGGTGGGAGGGTGGGTGGGTGGGTGGGAGGGTGGGTGGGTGAGTGGGTGGGTGGGTGAGTGGGTGGGTGGGTGAGTGAGTGGGTGGGTGGGTGGGTTAGTGAGTGGGTGGGTGGGTGAGTGAGTGGGTGAGAGGGTGGGTGAGTGGGTGGGTGGGTGGGTGAGTGGGTGGGTGGGTGGGTGAGTGAGTGGGTGGGTGGGTGGGTGAGTGGGTGGGTGGGTGAGTGGGTGGGTGAGTGGGTGGGTGGGTGGGTGAGTGAGTGGGTGGGTAGGTGGGTGGGTGGGAGGGTGGGTGGGTGGGTGAGTGGGTTGGTGAGTGAGTGGGTGGGTGGGTGAGTGAGTGGGTGGGTGGGTGGGTGAGTGAGTGGGTGAGTGAGAGGGTGGGTGGGTGAGAGGGTGGGTGGGTGGGAGGGTGGGTGAGTGAGAGGGTGGGTGGGTGGGTGGGTGGGTGGGTGGGTGGGTGGGAGGGTGGGTGGGTGGGTGGGTGGGTGGGTGGGTGGGTGGGTGGGAGGGTGGGTGGGTGGGAGGGTGGGTGGGTGGGTGGGGGGGTGGGTGGGTGGGTGGGTGGGTGGGTGGGTGGGGGGGTGGGTGGGTGGGTGGGAGGGTGGGTGGGTGGGTGGGTGGGTGGGGGGGTGGGTGGGTGAGTGAGAGGGTGGGTGGGTGAGTGAGTGGGTGGGTGGGTGGGTGAGTGGGTGGGTGGGTGGGTGAGTGGGTGGGTGGGTGAGAGGGTGGGTGGGTGAGAGGGTGGGTGGGTGGGAGGGTGGGTGGGTGGGTGGGTGGGTGGGTGGGAGGGTGGGTCGGTGGGTGGGTGGGTGGGAGGGTTATTGGGAGGGTGGGTGGGTGGGTGAGTGGGTGGGTGGGTGAGAGGGTGGGTGGGTGAGAGGGTGGGTGGGTGGGTGAGTGGGTGGGTGGGTGAGTGGGTGAGTGGGTGGGTGGGTGGGTGAGAGCGTGGGTGGGTGAGTGGG